ATAAGGGCTTTTGTCCTGATCTAATACGTAGGTACTATGCCTTCAACTATAAGCCGTCCATTACAAAATCAAGGTTTCGAGAACCTGGTGTGCTTGTTGGCATTTTAAGGCTGATGGCTGGCATGACGTGTTTGATTTTACTTTTTAGTGAAATACACTTTATATACACCGGCTTTTGTCCTAGTCTAATACGTAGGTACTATGCCTTCAATTATAAACCGTCCATTACAAAATCAAGGTTTCGAGAACCTGATGTGCTTGTTGGTATTTTAAGACTGATGGCTGGCGTGACGTGTTTGATTTTACTTTTTAGTGAAATACAATTTATATACACCGGCTTTTGTCCTAGTCTAATACGAAGGTACTACGCCTTCAACTATAAGCCGTCTATTACAAAATCAAGGTTCCAAGAACCTGGTGTGCTTGTTGGCATTTTAAGGCTGATGGCTGGCGTGACATGTTTGATCTTACTTTTTAGTGAAATACATTTTATATATACTGGCTTTTGTCCTAATCTAATACGTAGGTACTATGCCTTCAACTATAAGCCGTCCATTACAAAATCAAGGTTTTAAGAATCTGATGTGCTTATTCGCATTTTAAGGTTGATGGATGACATGACGTGTTTAGTTTTAAGCATATGACATTGTATCTTGTTTCACAAGGTTGTCGCACTTAGATATTTGGATGCTCCTGAGTTTGAAAGAGATCTTACGTGTTTTACATTTAGAAGCAAAAATATTCATTTAGTGGAGACGGATGACGGTATTGTATTATGGTTCCACACACGATTTGTGCTAGAATTTTGGACTTGCCTTTTTTTTGCAGAAAATTGAAGTATGTGTTTTTTAAGTAAAACATTTGTGTATATTAATGACGGGGTTATACATGTTTGTGTGTGGGGGGGGGGTGGAAAAATCATTGATTTTTTTTCTAGCACTAAGATTGAAGAAAGTATAGTCATCCCTCCTCCCCAACCATTCATATTTTCTGTTTTAGCTTCTACCATTCTCGGCTAGTATCGCCGCTGATATATACATTAATGTCTATAGATCTAACAGCTAGATGTCACGCTCTAACTATAAGATAAGATTTTCTCTTTAAGAAGTTGCTTCCCAAAAATGAAGCCCACAACGGATGGCGTGCCATAGGTACCATGCATGATGAGTGGCTCTGGCGTTTATGAGGTGTTGGTGGCTAGCGTGGTGTGTTTGTTTGATGGGCCCCGGTGTTGTATAATGCTTTGATAGGGGGCTTGCATTAGAAATTGGTTTTTTCGGCACCGTTCTTTCGTCGAAATCTATGGTCTTTCAAGGAAACTTTGAAATGATTTGCAACAAGCTATATTGGGTTCCCTTTCTTGACACCATAGCGACATGAATAGAAAGTCGAAAAGGAACCAAATAAGGGTGGAATCGATGGCATAAATCAACCCCAAATTAGACTGGCAAACAGAGAAAATCCACCACTATTTTCACCACAAAATCAGATCAGGCAAGAGGGGAAATCAACAGGAGAAGAAACCACACGAACGCCCTCTTCTTTCCCTACGATGTCTCCCTCTTCCTCAGTGTGGACCACATCAGCGAATGTGTGAGGCCAAGTTGGCTGGCTTTAAGGTTTAAACAAGGTATAGGCAAACCTGAATCACCACCAGCTCCTTATTGATGCTGCTTTGACCTATGCACGACCACTACTTTTCACTCCTCGTAGTCCCCTGTAGCCTAGGTTGAGTGAGAGAGGGGGGATTGGATGTAGAGGCAAACCTGCACCACCTCGAGTTCCTTGCTCCTGCTCCTCCATTTGACGAGCCTCCCCTAACCACCGACTTCGCTCGCATCCATCACTCCACCTCCCGCACGCGCCATAGCCTCTGTGGCCTTCTGCTCCCGCCCGGACCTGGTCGCTGCCATAGGTCCCAAGCAATCGAAGGTGTTCATCCATGATGATGAGGGGGGCGATGAAGGAGGAGGACGAGGGGGCGATGGAGAAGGAGGGTGGGTTGTGGCGATGAGGGACTGGGGTAAGAGGGGTGCAGCGGCTGTGGATTGGGGTTTGTGTAGCGCCCATCACGCGCGTCTTGTGTGCCAGTGCATGTGACGGGAGGAGTGGATTGGTGAAACCCTCTTGCACCTGCCTCATGGCTCACCCAACCAATCCACGTTGGGAACGAGCCCACCGGTCATAGGCCTGGAAAAACAACTGTGAAGTGAAAACCAGATTAACCACAAGGTGAATATCGAACGGAGGAGAGGAAGCAGTTGACCAAAATGATGATGATCCAACGGCCATAAGCGGACCAAATCCGGGGAGCAAAATAAGATGCATAAAAGATAAACATCACATGCAATCAAAATATGTGACATGATATGGCCATCATCATCTTGTGCTTTTGATCTCTATCTTCAAAGCATCGTCATGATCTTCATCGTCACCGGCTCGACACCTTATCTCCATTGTTGCGTCGAGGTCGTCACACCAACTATTACTTCTACAACTATCGCTAACGCATAGTGATAAAGTAAAGCAATTACATGGCGCTTGCACTTCATACAATAAAGAGACAACCCTAAGGCTCCTGCCGGTTGTCGATATTACAAAACATGATCATCTCATACATCAATATATATCACATCATATCTTGACCATATCACATCACAACATGCCCTGCAAAAACAAGTTAGACGTCATTTACTTTGTAGTTGCAAGTTTTATGTGGTTGCTACGGGCTTCTAGCAAGAATCGTTCTTACCTATGCAAAAACCACAACGGTGTTTCATCAAGTTTGTTGTTTTAACCTTCTTCAAGGACCGGTCATAGTCAAATTCGATTCAACTAAAGTAGGAGAAACAGAAACCCGTCGGCCACCTTTATGCAAAACTTGTTGCATGTCTGTCGGTGGAACCGG